AAAATCAGAATTGAACAAAGATAAATAGAGGCTCACATTAAGTGATTTCTTACTACATTTTATTATTAAACCAAAACAATTCATGAAACAAATATATGTTAAATTAATAAAAAAAGAAAAAAAATCGATTACCTATGGAAAGGAGCAATGGTTTCTTTAGACATTTATAGAAGAAGAAGATTGGTTTACCACTTCACCCCATTTGTTGGGTGAGAGAATTTGGTTTCTAACATTAATTTGGTTCCAAGCTAGGGTTCCTATTTAGAGTTGGCCCTTAAACTAACCCAATTTATGCAGTTTACACCCCTACTTTATTAGAGAGATCAAAAGGGATTAAGATAGATGAATTTAAGGCTCCGTTTGGTTTGTGGGATGGGGATAATTCATTTTTCTCTCATTTGTTTAGAGGAAAATAGAGGGATGGGATGAGAAAAAAGTGGGATGCAAGATCCCAAAATTGTGGAATTGTGATCGCGCCAAAATAGTGCAACCTCGGTGGAGTCTCTCCACTCTCTCTCTCTCTCTCGCTCTCTCTCTCTTCCTCTCTTTCTCTCTTCTTCTCCTTTGTTTTCACTTTTGAGCTCCTCTATTACCATCGAACCAGACACTGTTCATTGCCTTCCCCGTTCAAATAGAGGAGGCGGCGGTGGCAAGAGAACCAATGTGAGGGGCAAAGGAATGGCGAAAATCCATAAAACAAATCTCCCTCTCTTCGAACAGGGGTGGCAAAGGAATGACGATCTCCTCTCCTGATCTATTCTCCATCTCTCTGTCTCTCCCTCCATCTTCCTCTTCTCTCTTCTCCCTCACATTCTTCTTCTTCCTATTCTTCCCATCTTCCTCCCCATTTCATTTCTTTCTTTCTCTAATCGTCGTTGCAACTCTTGACAGCGGCGATCTACTTTCTCAGCACTCCTATCCTGATCTACTCTCTTGATCTGCTTTCTCCTCTCCCAATCTCCTCGCCTGATATGCTTTCTCACCATCGGCAATCCGACGAAAAACCAAGTCGTGGCGGTAGTTTTCCTAAAACTAAACAATGTAAAATTAATTTTTTACACGTTTTCATCCCATCCCATCTAAAATTTTCCACAAATCAAACAGACCCTAAGAGAAAAAAGAAGAATTTAATGGAAAGAAAAAATGTTACAAATATTAACTATTAAGGAGGGTGGGAGCAATTGGTGGTGGCTTAATTGGTAGTTTTCTGATTTGTTAGAATAGAGACGGGGATGGGCCTCCTCCCTCGTTGTGTAGCCGAATGAAACAAAGAAAAAGGTGGGTGGGTGGTTGAGAGAGAGATACAATTTCCAGTGAGTGTTGGGACAAGAGATAATTAAATGCCTCTCCTCTTTGTCTTTATTATTATTTAACATATTTTCATCTCTCTTTCTCTCTCATCTTGTCATCTCTTAATTAATGCAATTATCCAATTAAATGCGTCTCTTCTTTCTCTTGCATGAAGGGGGTCATACCGTAGGAGTCTCGCATTGCTCTGCCATTAATGGGAGACAAGACAACTTCAAGAATACTGGCAAGCCTGATCCCACGCTTAATGGGAGACAAGACAACTTCAAGAATACTGGCAAGCCTGATCCCACGCTTGACCCCCATCTAGCCTCAGTGCTGTAGCAAGGGAGATGACCCCATAGTTGTCATGGACCGATTTACACCGCTTGTTCTGGACAACAAAATATTAGGTTGGTTTAGTGCAAAATAAAGGGGGTTATTCACATTATAACATCAGACCAAACCTTGCTCACTAATGAGCTTACCAGGAAAGAAGTAATGGAGAATGCTTATTACCCAGGTGTTTGGGAAAATAAGTTTGTTGCCTCGATGATTAAGATGGGAGAGATAGAGGTCAAAACAGGGAACCAGGGAGAGGTTAGGAAGATGTGTCGCCGTGTAAACAACTAATTTCAATTAATTCCCTCTTAGCTAGCTAGGTGCTAGTACTTAATTAAGCTAAAGGTTTGTAATATTGGTTGCTGTGGGTGAAAGTGGGCATGTCGATCCTATGTTCTTCGGGAGTAGAAGAATTCCCAGAATTTGGAATAATAATAATAAGGGAAATTCTTGGGGCAGTCGTCAAGAAACAATTGTTTCGTTTCTTCACATTAAGTTGTAATTAGTTAATTTCTCTTAGTGATATATTGTTCGATTGTGTTGTGCATCTAATAAAGACACTTTTGAATGAAACATCTATTGATTTTATTTTTTTAATTTCTTTTTTTCAAAAATTATTATTATTATTAATAATAAAAAAAAGGAGTCCCGACAAAAGAACTTAATATGAGGCATATCATATCAAAATTTTTATCCTTGGTGAGTTGGTTCTTGACTTTAATTTATTGATTTTAATTAGATTTCTTTTGACGGTTTTGCTTGCTCCAGGAGGACTTAATCTTGCTCTTGTCTCCTAATTCAAGTGATTGTTTGGTCTCTGTAAGCTCTGTTGGGTTATATTTCTTTTAAAATTACGCACCCCTTTGATGGACATTGAAATTAAGACTAAGGGGTCTGTTGTTTTTCTCTTCTCATTGCTCAAATCAACCTTTGTTATTCACTTGTTCATGAAAATGAATAAGTGAATGATAACCCATTTAAAAAAAGTGAATCACCTTTTTAGTGGGGGTAATTCAATAAATTTTCATTGCAACAAAACTTTTCATGAAAAAAAAAAGAAATTTTAAAAAAAGTTAAATTTTCGTGCCAGCATTTTGTCGGATATACCTCATGGTGATGAGAGATGTGTAGTGTAGGATCAAGTTGGAATGAATTCTATAGGGAGCATGTCCATGCCCCTGCCTCGGTGCTGGTTAGGAGTTTTGATCTGCTCCCAACAAACACATCCAAAATCCAAAACCCTTCCAACATGATCTTACACCACATTTAATCATGAGATGGGAATCCATCATGTATGAGATGTGCGATGTCAAATTATTGGAACAATTTTGCTGGAATGAGATCCCAACTTGCCATGCGGGCTTGACATTATCAGGAAAACTTCAAGCTTTGGTTGGATATCATTTGGATTAAGGACCTGGCTAAGCTGACGATTTCAGCTAAGCATCTCAGAGAATTCATAGTGGTCCGTTGAGAGTTGAGAGCATCTGAACGATAATATATATAAATATGGGAGATGTTTACGGCTGAAAGCGATGGTTAACCACTAACCAATTTAGGTAACATAGATTTTTCATCAAACAAAACTTATAGGCTATCTATGTGGGGCCTATCTTATAGAAAGCTAAAATCTGCTTTTATTCCCAGTTTGGAAGGCTGAGTTCAACATCTGATTCACCAGGCACTTTTAGATAAGCTATCTAAGGTGTCTAAAGCATACAATCCAAAAATTTATAATGACTAACTAACAGTGACAGTCAATTTGAGCATATCCGATTTTTCACCAAACATGGCTTCAAAATTATCTGTTGGGTGCATCTCAGAATTCTAGAAGACGCTGTTCTTCGAATGGGCATTATTCTCGGCTCCCATCCAAACTGACATACAAGACACAACAGATGTGGTTCCAACTTCCAAAATGATAAATCCTTTTTCTTTTTTATTTTGTTTATAAAATGAACAGTTTCTTGCATCAGCGGAAAACCTCAGCCTGTAATTTCATGGGACCAGTGTCATAAAGAGGAACACGTGCCAATACAAGGGGAGTTGTATGGATTGGTCAGACATAGACCCATTCCCATATCATAAATTCTACAGTGGTTTTCACATGCTAGCATGTTCCATAATTCTTTTTCTTTAAAGACCATAACCAATAATTTAATACTTAATTTTTTTATTCACTAAATTTTATCTCATAGAGTTGATAAGATTCATTAGAATTACATTGGCTTTAATTGAGGCAATCTACTTTATCTCGTTTAATATAGGGAGCGTGTAGACAAAGTACAAACATTAATTTCGATCTAGGCTTTACTTCCTTGTATAGCTCCGAGGCAAATGAATCCTCAGGAAAAAAAAAAAAATTAGAACATTAATAAAAATATCCTTACCTTATCTACATTATTGTTTTTAAACCCTAGTTGACCCAAAAGGTCATCATATGACATAGAAACCGTTCAGACAACTGATTTCCTTTCACCCCAAACTCGGTCTTTGGCAAAAAAATATTGATTTGGTCAATAATTCATGTAAATTTTTGTATAGAACCGTACTGCCTTTCTCCTAAAGAGCCATTGTTTGGTGTAGTGGTAAAATCTCAAGCTGATAATAAGCATGAGAATTTGTATTTGAATGCCATAGCAGCCATTTTGTGCAAAGAATGTCAAATGTTAGGTCTATATCTGGTCAATATTTGAAAAAGTGACAAAAAAAAAATCGTTTTTTCCTCGATCACCAGTTCAATCATCAGGTCAAATTGGTCAATCCATGAATCATAACCTATAAAAATAGATAACAATGTAAAAAATACATGAATAACAAAAATTGGCCATGCCTCTAATATATTTATCATACTGAACAAAAATGAGCATGATAAATGAGAATTATTGCAATTAACGATAAAAATGGCTAAAATACATGTCAGATACCAAAAAAACAGAGTACTAATATCTGAACCACGACCAATTGACTGGATTAAACAGTTATGAGTGGCTGGTTCACATGAATCATTGACTCGCTCAATATTTTTTTTGTAAGTAAATGGGTTAGGGGGCTAAATAGACCTGAAAACCCGGTCGGGTGACCGATCAACTGGGTCAATAATGGATTGAAAATATTGTATCCAGTCTACCCCTCCCAAAACCCTAGATAGTAAGAACTTACATAAAGATTGGTAATGGCCCTCTACTGTAATGTCTTTCATGGTTTCTCTATGCTTGCAGTCATGCAAGAGAACCTAAACATCTCTCTCTTTCTCAAATTTTCTCTTATAATCTTGCAACTCAATAATGCAGGCCAACTCTTCTTTTTCAGCTACATTTAATTTTTCCAGTTAATACCAAAGTTCCAGAATTTAAAGAGCTCTATGCCTGTAAAGATAAGCTGCTAGATGAAATGATTTTATTTTAAATATTTTCCAATTAAATGTATATGAAAAACCCGTTTACATTTAGAAGTCTCCTTGTGCTTGTAGATCTTTATGCCACTTTCTTAGATGCACTCCTTTTAATCAGTTTGTATTTCACCATCCTAGCAATCTTGTAGAACCAGAAAGTACTCACTAACTGCAATCCCAAAGCCATTGCCTGAAAATCAAAACAGTTGAAATTAAAAATAAAGTAACAAATGCTAATATCACTGGAAGTATATAGGCATACATACTCTTAACTAGCTTCAGGTGTTGCTAACTGTAAAACTAGGCTCTAGTGATGGTATTGTGAGGTTGCTTCTACTGTTATCAAGAAATAAAACTTCAAATTTTTCAGAAGTACCTAGGTTTTTAGTGTACAGAGGAACATGATTGATCAAAAATCTATACTTCATAACCATATGAACCTTGTGCATCCAATCTCAGTCAATGGATGAATTCATATGCATAACATAGCATTCATTTTCTTCCCTAAAAAGGAAAAAAGTTAAACAATTCTCTTATACCTCCTTTTCTAAAGGGAACTGCATTTCCTTTTATACTAATAAAAGGTTGCCCAAAAAAAAAAAAAACTTTGGAAGCCAATAAAACACTGAAATTTTTAAAATTAGATAAGCCTGTGATGTAATTTTCTGCTTTTTTTTGGTATCCGGTGCTATGCACTATTAATAACTCCCCCCTGACCCCTTTTTCCCCAAAGTACTGGTTGTGGGATTTGATTCTGCGTCAACGCTGGAACAAACCAGCTAACACACCAACGAGACAGCCCTCCGTTGGTTGATGTAATTTTCTGCTTTGAGACTCTCTTAGAAGACCATGAATCTTATAAAACAGTTTTATAAATTGTATTGTAGTTTTTAATATGCTTTCTAATTTTCCAGCACCCCCTTGTAATATGCATTCCTATTTTGGTTTTCTTCTTATAAAATTTCCTAAACTTTTCAACAAAGAACCAGGGAAATATAGCTCCTGGAAATATTTCTAAAGAAGGATTCTTGTTTATAGAGCTGAGACTAGGCTTTTGGGTATTTTGGTTGATGCACCCTCCCTACTGCAAAAAGTCGATTAGGTACTCTTCATCACTAGATTGCATTTATATCATGGTTGTTGGTGACTCAACTAAAGCACAGCACATAGAACCTGTGGTCACAGCACGATTGAGTTACCTTTATAAGTAGTGGGTAGTCAGCAGAAAGTGTCACACAAGTGAGATATGGTCCACCAATCATCCTTGCAAATGTGAAGATGAGTGCAAAACAGATCTGTTAAAAAATCAACATTAGTGAAATCCTGAGAGGAATAAGAGAAACCAACTAAAATCTCTGCCAATCATGTTAAGAGCAAAACATTTCTGAGGAGAAAAAGAAATGCGTAATTAAGAGACTGGACTAACATCTGCTGCCAAATTAAGGTCAGTGTCCCTGTATCCTAGTTCTTTCAGAAGCTCCCTCATGTGGAGGAAAGGGCTGGAGATCTCTGTTATCCACAATGCTGCAACCATCTCGGATCCACACTGTTAGAAGTAACATAAATTCTATAATTATGAAAAGCCTGCCACAAACATGCATATTTTTCCAAGGTAAAATACTCAGACTTCATACAGCACAAGAAAACAATATGAAATTAGTACTATATTGCACAGGGTGCAAGTTGAAGAGAGAGAAATATTGTAAACACTGTTGTTAAAGGTTCCTGCCTTCCTGGTAGATGAATCTCAACATGATTTCTAACAAGCAATAAATTGAATAATTACAATTATACCATCTCCAAAATGCATCAACAAATGAATTAATTTTGCAGTTTGTAGCTAGTTGACAATGGCTTGTAGTAGAATGAGTTTTGGACATTGGAAAAGTTGATTATCTGATCTGATTCTGAATTTTCAGAGCTCAGCTGAACTCCATGAAGAAGGGGCAATTCAATATATAATTTATAAATCTGAATACCCCAAGGAAAAAAGCTTTCTGGGGTTGGGGGAAAATGAGTTTCCTTTCACCTTTCTCAGGTTCTCCATTAGGTAATGGTTTGAAGAAGCCAACTCTGCAGAGTGTTGTACAGAATTAAGGAACAAGACATTCATGCACTCTGCCATTATCATGTAATTCAAAGCATGTGTTACAGAAGCCTATGTAACCCAAGAACCATCAATGGCCAATATCAAAGTATCAGCTGAAATCTGCCAAGAAAATCAAATGGAACAGTCCACTCACAACTTGATGAGCAAGGCCCGATCCAAGACCAACAATGCTAACCAGATGATGGATTGAATTGTCAAGGTTGACATGGTTGTCGAAAAGGCAACACACGAGATCGTAGATGAGGTAACCAACGCTCACTGCCAACGCCTTCATCTGCAGGTTTTCAGGACACAAGTCCAACAATCAACAACTGGAAGAAAGAAGAATCATTGATCAAAGACAAGAACCAGAAACAAATTGAAGAATCATTCATGGCTCTTTTTCCCTTTTTTCTAGTAGATGAAATCCAATGAGACATTGAGTTCTCACAAAGAATCTGGATTCTGGATTCAAACTAATAACAACATAACACATGAATTACCTGAGAAGTAGACGACTTTGGAGCCAGAGGAACTGGGTCCCTCCAATCTTCCACAGAGAGAGAGGCCAAAGTGACAGCCGAAGAGGCGTGGATTGTAGAAACAATGCGGTTGCAGAAATCAAACGAGCGATTAGGGAAAATCTTTCTTACTAGTAAGAAAAGTGAAGCCCATGAAACAATTGACACAAGAATCAAGTTCACAATGTAGTCCTCCATCTAGACACCGCCAGAATCCCTTTGAACTGGTTCTGTTTCTAACTAAAAGAGACAATAGAAGAGGTGCTGGATCAGATTAACCGCTTAAAATAAATCCGATAAGCTTCAATTAGATGATAAGCAGAGAACTCCCGGACTCAAAAAGAATGGAGATTTGCAGAGCTAGAAACATGGAAACCTACTCAGAGACCTGTAACTAAGAAATGGGTTTTCTTTCTACAAGAAGAGAAGATCTGTCAACCACACCAATCAGATCAACTACCAAATTCTAGTTGAACATCATTAAATCCTTGTAGATGTGTTTAGGTGGGTTAGGTCGGAGGCAACTTGTATAAACTCAAAATCTTCTCTGGGTCTCTTGCTGCAACGCATTCATATAGACCAGTAAACAAAAAAAAAGGAAAACTTGAATTCGTTTTCCCATTAAACGAACTTTCGTTTATTTATTTACTATTATTGTTATTTTTTTTGTGGTGGGGGGATATATATATATATATATATATATTTATATATATGCCCAAGGGGGGGGGTGTTTGAGATTTTGATTCTCACGGTTATTGGAAAGGAGAAGAGAAGATTAACAGTGGTCCTGACGTCCTGAGTGGCATGTTGACTCCCCTCCAGAAATTGGGCAAATGCCAACTGTGATGAAAGCTCACCTACGACCTGGTTAGCATTAGATCGAAAAGATTTATGCTTCTTAAGTTCTTGGGCCAAAAGCTGTTTTTTATCTTTCTAATTTTTAATTCATTGTTATATTTTGATTTAATCAAAATAGATAGATTGATTATGTTTGAAAGCAAGTGGTTGGAGGCCTGAGAGAGGACAAGGATGAAGAAGGGTGAAAGAAATGACAGCTTTAGTAAAACACGAAAACGAATATCCTCCCCCCAAACTGGAATCTTTATATGCTTTCAAATTCTCCCCTCCCCCCAATGAATTTTCGTTGGTTAGTTTATACCTTTTCGAATCCAAATCTAAGTGGGTATCTGATCGGCTGATCCATCCGTTTGTATCCCCATGAAAGGGGCAACAATGGTGATCTTTTCCTGAACTCAAAATTTTTCGGACATATTATATGTTTTTAACATATTATAGGGTTTTAATGGACAAACTGTTTGGTAACCCACCACTAGACCTGTTCATGGGCCGGGCCGGGTCAGGTTTGGGCCGGGCCTTCGCTCTGGATTGATAGAATTTTCTAAGGCCCGAGCCCGAGCCCGAGCCCGGCCCGACCATTGGGCCTATAACTTGGGCCCGAGCCCGGCCCTTATAAAAAGCTCGAAGCCCGGGCTTGGGCCCAAGCCCGAAATTTAGCCCATACTGTTAGCGGCTGAATAGAGAGAGAGATTATAAAGAAAAGAATAAAAAATGTATATATTAAATTATAAATATATTTTTTAATAAGTATTATATTATTTATATATTTAATATAATATATAAAATACATATTATATATTTTTTAAAATATATAATGTTGAGTTGGGCCAGGCTTTTTTGACAAATCCCAAGTCCGACCCGAAACACAATCGGACTTACTGTGTTAGGCCCGAGGTCAAGCCCACAGGCCTAATTACATGACCAAGTCCAATCGGAATGCAGACCGAGCCGGGCCGGGGCATCGGGCTATCCGGCCCATGAAGAAGTCTACCCACCACCCAGCTAACGTTTTGGCCTTTTGGGTTGGTATTGGTTCGGAAACTGATTCATATCGTTGAAGAAGTATATGTTTAATTTCGTTTATGTTTTTTTTATTCAATGTCTGTATTTTATTTGTTTACAAATTTGAGAAAAGTAATAATTATAATCGTATATTATTAATTAAGCGCCATTAGACAGTGAAAAAATACTTAATCATTTGTAAAAGTTTTAAAAAATAATTATTTTAAATGATAGACATGCACAAAAACCAAAATCAACTTTTATCATTATTAATGCGTAGGTAAAAACAAGAAAGGAAAACTGCTAAAATTACGCCTTTGTGGCAACATTTATGAATAAACACATGCGGAACCAAACATTTGGCCATTTTATTTTATTCAGTGAATTAGTGTCATATCTATATCATTAAATTATTGATGTTTAAATTTTAAACAGAGCAAAGAAATTCATCGCAAGGGCAAGAATCTCATCACGTAATGTATTGAATGGATGTAGGTATTTATAGATACATCTCGTTGCAAAACGTAATTGACTCATAACTAATTTAATACATGTGGCAATTAACACGTGGTTAAGTAACCAGCTGTCCAACACTAGAATGTTTTATTAGCATTCTAACACTATTCAAGTCCTTTTCCATCTGCCCATTGAAGTAGACTCTTTAACATTCCACCCTGTAACTTGGACAAGAAGTGGAGGAAAATGTAAGACATCCATACCCTTGTGAGGGACCTCATGGGAATCCATATCAAAGGTAAGCTAGCAATCAAAAACCTCCCTTGAAGTTTTTGACAATCATAAAAACTTTTTTTATAGTTTCATTTTAGCAAAAACTTTCCCGCTATTTTTAAGAAATTTGGCAAAAACCTCCCTTCCATCAATAATTATGACAGAAAACATTAAAACCATGATTGAATCTTTTCAAATACCTATTTTAACTTTTGACACGTTAATGATTTTCCTATTCCCACTAAGATTGACCTACTTTACCCTTTCAAATACCAATTTTACCTTTCTCACAGCAAAAGACACCCTCTCCCGATGGTGACGGCATGGTTCACGCTGTTAGCATCCAGGAATGATCCCCTGTTCAAGCCCGTAGCAGCTAGCTACGCTTGCCGCTTCACGGAGACGCAACTGAACCTCCCCTTGAAGAAGAACAATGGATCCTTCTCCCACTGGTCAAAACTCGAAGCCATGTTCTATTAGTCGAATTCCGACCGTTTTCCAGTTAAATCGACCTCATAAGCCAAGGTTTCATCCGGATTCAGCAATCCCCAATGCCGTTCAGTTCCCGGTCCACCCTTCTGGTTCTCTTTGTACAATGTGAAAATGAAGGTTGGTATTACTACACCTGGTCAGGCCGGAGTTCCAACTGTTGGTTTGGACGTCATTCTCTAGATTAGATTCGGGTTATATGTAGCTATGTTGAAGATGTTCGCTCCGATCTAGTCGATGTCTCCGGCATTGGGCCACCCTGTTTCGACGATTACCAGTTGAACATTCGGGAACCCAAGCTTGATTGTGGCGAAGATAATCGAGTCAAGCATCTGGTCAAGGAGGTTGGTGTAGGTTAAGTTGAAGGGATGAGAGATCAATCATATGGATAGCCAAACCCTGCAGGTAGGTAGGGCGAAATTTCAAAAAATTTTTCTCTCTCCCATATGGGAATCACATTCCCTGTTTTAGAAAACTGCATTTTCAATGATCAATCTTGAACTTAAACCGGACGAGATCTGAAACTAAAAGGTAGGAAAGGGATGTACCTGATACGGAGTAACAGTAACTCCCAACGAATGTGTTTACGCCCAAGGAAAATGCCAAAGACTACTCCCACTAAAAATGACACAACGTAGGGTGGAGCAGAATCAATAGGTGGTTCTTCAACAAGAATTTGATGGAGGGTGTGTGAGCACGACTTCATATCAGCTTTTCACAAAAAAACTAATATCAAAAACCTTTATTGATCACTCCTATAGGTGAAGATCGAACTAGCAATGGTGGCAGCAATAGGAGGAGGCAAGAGCAGAAGATGGCGTTAGTCTAACTGGAGCTGTCTTCTCTCTTGAATCTGTAATCTGATTGGGGTAAAATTGGATTCGCCCTCCTCCTCTATTTATAGCCTTAAAGAGAGCTTCTCCTAATCCTATTAGGAGTTTCCTAATCCAAATCTTGTATTTGGATTTGGACTCTCTTTAAGAGATAAGGATAATCCCTTATCTTATCTACAGATAAAAATCATCCCTCCTAATCTGATTAGGAGTTTCTTAATCCAAATCTCTATTTGGATCTGGACTCTCTGAGTGGATACGATCATTCCCTTATCCTATCTGCTGATCTAAATCCCAGAACCGCCCCATTTAATTAATCATATTAAACAAGTTCGAATTGGACTTTATGCCCATTAAGTCCATGTGCTCACTTATCCTTCAAACTGCTGCCCAGTTGGGTATCCTTGTATGGCGTGGGACCCAAACATTGATCTACACATCAGCCACATGGGTTCAGCTCAACTTCTATTACAAGGCCTGGCCGAATTCACTGTAGGAAACAGTGTACCCTTGAATTCATCACCATGGGCTCTTAATAGGCCCAACATTTACACTAAATGGTCCCTGGGTCAAGCCACCTTATAAAACCCAAGGACTGTGGGCAAATGCAAGATTAGCCCATCAAGTATTACCCTCAATGGTCTTACACTTAAACTCTCAGCTCATAATGATCAAACACTGCCCGACAAGAGAGGACATCTCCCTCAGTTGCAAGGAACAGTGTTGCACTCTCTACACACATGGATCCCGAGAATTAAAACATTTTGCAAACATTTTGAAACCATAATATATATATATATATGTATATATCTATATAAATATATTTTGCAAAACAAATTTCAACGGTTGAAATTGGCTACCGGCATCTTTGGTTTCCATCAGAGAGAGTGCATCCCCGATCATTCACTTTGTCCGACAAAAGGGCTGATCCTTTCACTATGATCACCCACTCAAATGAATTCTCAAACTGTCCCAACATACCCAGGTTTTGACCCCCTTTAAGGATCTTATTGATTGGCATATCAAAGACAACCCAATCCGACACCTAGTGTAGTATCATAATCGAGTCTAAGGGTCAGGTGTAACATTCAAGTTTTGTCCATCTATCTCTAAGGTCCAGGGCAATACTGAAACTTTGGTCCGGTTCAGGGTTTCAAGAAAACCCACACTGCATGTACCTCAGGTCTCACCCTGGCAACTGAGACAAGGTACCCCAACCAACTTGGCGGCACATCAGTGTTACCCTTGGCAGGATAAATCTCCCCAGATTTATCCAACGACTGTGCAGATTCTAAACTAACACGAGTCTCATATGTGCCCAGTTTAAGGGTATTACACAGAAACACACCACAATAACATAAATCAAATATGTACTTTATTCATTTACATTAAAAGTCATAAGGTACATCATTCTTATTGGAGCTAAGGGTATACACTGTCTAACAGCTCCCACTTGCACTTAGGTCCAATTTTGTATAAGCCGGAGTCCCATGCTTTCCATGTGTTTCTCAAACACTTTCTGTGTTAGTGGCTTAGTCAATGGGTCTACTACATTATCCGCTGATGCTACGTTCTGAATCATGACGTCCCCTCTTCCAACTATCTCCCGCAGTACATGGTACTTCCTCTCGATGTGCTTCGACTTCGAGTGGGCTCGTGGCTCCTTAGCCTGAGCGATAACTCCAGTGTTGTCACACAACAGTGGAATGGGTGATATACTGGATGGAACTACT